GCCTTCCACTCTGACAATTTTTTTGGATCGCTTCTCTTTCCGCTGCATTAGTCTTGTACGGTTTGCAGCTGACTAGGGTGCTTCCAGGTTCTTCCGTGATGGTCATTTCCAGTTGGTTGCAACTCCCGAACTCGGACAGATTCAGTGCGAAACAATTCCTGTACTCGTTCAGCATCTTTGGCAGTGCATCCACTTACGGTTCATGATATCCTTTCCAACATTCAGCATGCCACGATCGATGGGTTTTCACTGAGGCATAGTCCTCACTGGGGTTAACTCTTTGCTCCCTGAGGGCAGTTCAGTGTGAGCAAACAAACTTCCCTTGAGCAGCTGTTGGTCTTCATCCTTGTCGTTCAACACGGGTCTCTCAACCTTTCCGTGCTCGATGTGAAGCAGCGTTCCCTTGCCAGTCCTACTACAGTCGGTGACAGGTCAAGAACGAAGTGAAAGCTCCTCCCACCTCTTTCCACTGTAGTAGAGCAAGCACTGGAAAGGAGGCGACCTCTTCTCCACCGTTCGCTCCGCTGAATTGGAAAGGGGTGGGAGGAGCTTCCACTTCGTTCTTGACCTGTCACCGACTATAGATAAGACGAGACTTCCTTCACTTTTACCGGTCTCCACTGTCACCCAACACACAATTCTTTTGGGCAGCACCATGGTTTCCTTAACATGCTCCGTTTCCTTGAAATTCTTCATCTAGGCAAGGTCGATGTTACATAACGGAAGATCATCTTGGTAGTCAATCCTGAGTTCATCTCCAATGCACAGGTATGCACTGTGGTCTTGTTCCTTCCAGGTCCTACCGACCAGCATGTCCACGGGCAAAATCACTGGCATTAACGACAGTCACCTTGACCTTGTGGCATACCACGTCGTCGATTTCTATGTCGACCTCCAAGGTTCCGATTGACGACACTGCAGATATGTCGGTGTTCCCAAATCCACACAAATCTTGGGCCTTGCAAACAACTTTTAGTTTGCACTTTTAAGCCGCTCGATATACAGTCTGAACTTCCAGGGTCGATCATCACCGAGAGCTGGTGAGTTCCATTGATAATAGCAGTCTTCAGGAATTTCGCTGGACCACTGTCACTTGTTGGACTCTGATTCACCACGAAGCTGCCAACAGGGTTTGTTGGGCAGTTTCTCACCATGTGCCCCTACTTTCCGCAACTGTAGTATTTTCACTCAGCTTGTTCTCGCTTGGAGGATTCTGGTGTTTTCTTGGGTGGTCCCCCAGCACTTGCCTGATCTGTCGGTTGGACCATGTTGCTTCCTTGACTCAATGAGCCTCTGGCCACACTGTTTTGATTTATGAGGCGTATGCCAGTGGTCGTTTGCTCGGTTGGACGTGCAGTAGCCTATGATCTTGAGGTTGAGGCCAGACGCGAAATGTCGTGGCACCTAAATTACCGTTGTGTGGCTTGTCCCTTGGAGACTTCTGGATCCTTGATTCACTTTATCTCTCCAATTTTTGCTAGTCTGCCACCAATTCATTCTCGTCCCTGTGCTCCTTTGCCGTTATGGAGATGCACACGTCTCTAGACCGCAGCCCAGCCAAAACTTACTCCTTGGTGTCTTGCATACTGAGGCCCAATACCTTGCACAACAAGGTCGTTTCGAGGAAATATGCCATTGTGGACCCTTCCCTCATCTAGATTTTCTCCTGCATCTGCTTCTGTTCTTCAGCTGTGCTTGTTTGACCCACTAAGGTTTTTCTAAAGGTGACCTTGAAGTCCTCCCACGTAGTAAGATCTTTGACACGTGCCCAAAACCAAAATCGAGCAGGTTCCTTCATATGGTGCCTGGTGTTCCCCAGCCTGAAGCTGTCTGGTTAGCCATGCAGGACTGCCATGGAGTCGATACAGTTCAACCACGACCCAGCCTCGTGCCACGAGCATTAGCCGTCAAATTCATGAATAGCCTTATTGAGGTCCTGCGTAACATAGAACGTTTCTGGTTTCCTCTCGATGATGATAAGTAATCTTCGGTTTTGTTCCAGTAGCGCTTGCATTATCTCATGGTTTCCGTTGCCGTTTGCCATCTTTGGGGGTTGTTTAGGCGTCTTCCTAGGCGGACACAGTTTTTTTTTTCGCCTTCGGCTAGGCGCTTAGTGTCTGCACACACGGTTCCCTCCACGAGGCAGCACGAAGACTCGCGTTTTCGCCGTCGGTACCTCACGAAGAAGGTACCCTTTGACAGAGTGTCCACATGCACGCAGTCTCGAGGCAATACAAAGAGCCCTCTTTCCACAGCGAGTGCCCGACGACGATGGCACGCGGTTGGCACTACCAGTAGTGTCGGTTTAAAAGTCAGCAAGCATCACCGTCGGTGCGATCCGACTACATCGGCTTCCAGGATCGCTTCACCACGAGGGTTTTGGTGAATCCCACTTCTAAGATGTTGGTTTTTCTTCCAATTAAAAAAGGAAAATTAAGACTAATTCAGAAAAGTAATATTAAGAGTTACACATGCGGCGATGCCGTCATGTTTTCTGCATCGACGGCTTTCTGCCCAATGTTGCTTCCCTTCGTTTTCGGATTTAGCTAACACACAATCCGTGCTCCTTTATCAGCAAACTGCGCGAGCCATCGGGGCTCGTATTGAAGTCCACATACCCCACCATAAACGCGAAAGGGTGCCCTTTTCTATTCAAGCATGAATGATATCCGCATTTTCGCTGAGAGTGAGCACTTTCGTTTTCTTCAGGGCTTCATTTCGCGACGACGAAGTCGCTGATAGAACGAATGCATGGCGTTGTCTCTTTCCTATGCTTAGCATCCAGCATGCACTTGTAATGAATTCAGGCATATTTGGCAGGGTCTTTGTCACTGGTGGCAGTAGTGCCTTTAAAATGTTTGCACTGTCTCCAGTCATAGCTTCTAATCTACCGCTTTAAAAAGAACCACTGCCGTATTAGGCATCTGAACAATAGCTTGCACGTTGCACATGCTTCGGTTGGGTTCTGTCCTTACCCTGAATTGCAGCAACAATGATTTGTTGTCCTAGATCATGGTTAGAATGGAGAACTGAGTGACCTCCTTTGGACCTTTTAGTCTAGTGTAAAGTCTTCCATATTTTTTTACTTCTTAGATTTCTTTTGAGTAAATCCAAATTGACAAAAATGTTCTTGACAAGCATTTTTCAGAATTTCCTTTTGGAACTTCTGGAACCAAGTGGCAAGTTTTGAAAGTTTCTTCAATACAGTTCCCTTGCAACTCTTGACCATCCCTTTGTACTGGCTGAATTGTAGTCACTACGATTTGCGCGTCATTTGCACAGGCTTGTAAGAGCATATTATATTGCCTGCATGCTATAGTTTGTACAAGCCTTGACATCACCTCATGGCTATTGAAGATGCCAAACATGTTCAGTTGCCAAACAATTTTGGTTTTGCTACCGGCTGACTTTTAAAGTAAAAAAAATTATATTGTTTTCAAGAAAATTAGCAGATAGAGGTATGATTGAAAAGTTCCAAGACTAGTCCTTTATACAACAAAGTACTTACTTTACTCCAATATCTCCCTCAGTTATCCCCTTGTGCAGTGATACAGTGCTCCCAGCACTTTTGCCTTGTTTTCGAAAGCTCCTTAGAAGCCCTGCACTTAGAGCATGCCAAGCACCTTCTGCAGTTTGCGCTAGATTTCTCCCTCAGTTTTAAAATGGCGACCCTTCAGCTTGAGCTTCATCAGAGGGAAGAGAAAGAAGTTGGTTAACAATTTCCTGAATGGTTCATCAAGGATCCTCGTGCACAAGTTACCCAATTCTGTTAACATTTTCTAGGGCTGTGCTTGTGGAAGGCTGCCCTAACCTCTCTTCACCTTCCAAGGATGTTCTGCCATTCTTGCAGTGCAAGTGCCAGTCAGAAAACTTAGCACTATGCTTTTTTGTAATAAGCCTGCCGAATTATTTCAAAAGTTCCAGATTTGCCGAGTTTGATGCAGAGTTAATGTTCACTCTTTGCTTTGGTTTGCAATCCATGCTGAAATTGCTGCTTGTGCACGTGGTCACAACTACTTGTATTGTGCAGCTCCAAATGTTCAACGAACGACACCCTTTAGCATCATGATGTATGAAGGTAACTGCCTCCGACAGCTGCACGCACATCGCCGTGCTGCCCTCTCGTTTTTCGCTACGAAACTAGTCTCTGGACGTTTTGAATGTGCCTCGTATTTGTGGCAGAATTTATAATGGCCTTATTAACAGGTTTCTTAAAATGAATATTCTTTAAGGGGGGACACTGGTTAATTTGAATAACTCTGAAATATAATAAGCTCAGGCCCTGCTACACAGCCAGATTGTTACGGTTGGCTTGTGCAAATTTTCGGAGCAGTGATATGATTGCTATGTTAAACTGCGCCAAAGCGCTTCTCGTGCTACATCCTGCTGCATTTTGCTAAAATGTGAGAAATTTGTGCCAACATTGCATCAAGACTTATTTTCACATTATTAATACTAAAATATAATAAATCGGGCCTCGCTACACGTCCAAATTGCTATGGTAGGCTTGCATGTATTTCCCAAACTTTTGTTATTGCCTCAAGTAACATCATACTCCATTTGATCTCTGTATGAACCATTGACAGTACTCGGAAGTTTTGCAATAACTTTCATGCTCATGGTTTGTTCTGGCTAGATAGCTGGTGTTGTTCAGTGCGCTTGTCACCGTGCAGTGGTGTACTGCAGTGAAGTGACAATCACGTAGAGGCGCCACAAGTTTGCATATCTTGCTTTGTCGCAGTGCACCCGCATGCTGAGGGGAAAGCACTCCTCCAGAGCGGGGCATTACACACGGTATCATGTCGCAGTACCCCTTTTTTTTTTGCTATGTCCAAATGCATAATGATCAAATTTCTTCTTTATGTGCGTGCCTGTAACATGGGTCGTCTAAGCCCTTGTTGCGCATTTTCAGTAACTGTCATGCTGAAGCTGCTTTGCAGTGCTCATATTTTCTTGGTTTTCTTAAACTCCAACTGTTTTTTTTTGTGATTTTGTTGCAGGCGTCTTTACCCACGTATCATCCAAGACATTGAAAGCATAGAAAACAACTGGAGGTGTGGCAGGCACAATCTCCAGCGCATCAACTGCCGTTCGGAAAACTCCAAGGGTGTCTACTGCTTGCAGTATGATGACACCAAAATTGTATCCGGGTTGCGAGACAATACAATCAAGATATGGGACAGGGCATCCCTTCAGTGCGTCAAGGTAAACAGCCCTCTGCAGCGGCACTTTTGGGGACAGTGGGACGCAGTTGGTTTGTCTTTCTGCAGGTGCTGACAGGTCACACGGGATCAGTGCTGTGCTTGCAGTACGACGACAAGGTCATAATTTCAGGGTCGAGTGACTCGACTGTCCGGTGAGATATTCGGCAATCCGCTGGTTTGGATCAGTCTGAAGAAATTTCCCTTCATTTCTGTGCAGGGTTTGGGACGTCAAGTCAGGGGAGATGGTGAACACACTCATTCACCATTGTGAGGCAGTGCTGCACCTTCGTTTCAACAATGGCATGATGGTCACCTGCTCCAAGGTTAGACTTTCCTGCACCTTGTGTCCGGCAGCTTCTGACGGCTCCTGTGTCTTGTTTCAAGTGCCACCCCGAAATCATGAGTAGAATGCAAAAATTCCGGAATGGGTTGGGAGTGTCCAGTGTTACAATGTTTCAGGGGTGAATGGATTTCGCAACAGACTTCACTGGCCATGCTTTTACTAATTTGTTTCCTAATGGATGCGTGCCGTGGTCCAGACCCATTTGGATCTGCAAAGGCTAGGTTGCTAGTGAATATAAGTGAATTTAATTGAACATGTGTGCCTAAACCTTGTTGAAGTTCTGTCTACAGAAGTTGGGTACAGCTGCAAGCTAAATCCCTCTTCACCTGGTGTTGGCCCACAATTTGTAATGAGGAACAGTTTCTCAACTAGTGTACTGAACCCGTTCCCCTCCTTTTAAAAACTATGAATACTGTGAATAGTGCTGGATTTTTGGGAGTATTAAGATGCCCTTGTGTGGCTTTATATTGTGGGATTTTTGCTACATATCATTGCAATGTGTACAGATTGGGGGTTCGCAAAAATTTGGTTATACAGTGCAGAGAAGATGATTATGAGTGAAAATGAAGATCACGAGTGAATTTAAGCAGTTGTGCTTCACAGGAAAAGCCTGTTCTGAAACCATATTGTTGTTTGTCGAGGAAATTGTTTGACTCGAGATGTTATGCGACACGGTACAAAAATTGTGTCTTGAAGAACTTTGTATACAATGCTGGTTAGGGTCATCGAAGGATAATTCTCTGTGAGGTTGTGATCTCCAGTTTTAAACATTGGAACGACCTTCCCTATACAAGTGTCTAAGAACCGTTTGGCATAACAATTAAAAATGCTTTGGGAATACAGTTAGCACCTGGGACTTTCTTAGTATTTAGATGATGAAGGCATGCTAAAATTGCCTCAAACAGCAGGGTAACACGAGCTAGAGGCTATTGGCATTTGCGACACAGTGTAAACCACCATTGTTGGAGGCAAGTAATCATTGAAACGTATCACTGTTGTGTCGGGATTGTCGACTGTACAACCAGGTTTTCTAGCGACCGTGAAAACCGGGAATTGTCAGGGAAATGTTAATTATCGGGGATGCTGGTGTCTTGTGAGTAATCCGAAAAAATGAATCTGATTGGGCGTGATTTTGAACTGCCTCTACGTTCGTTGTCAATGAATGTTGCCAAGGGGACCATATGGATGACGCGTATTCAGGTTGCGATCTTACGAGTGTAGTGTAGGCTAATCGTTTGACTGATGATGGTGCTAGTTTTAGATTCCGTCGAAGATAGCCAAGAGAGCGGTTAGCATTGGACAGGACGTGTGTTGTATGCGTGTTCCATGAGAGATTGTCAGATAAGTGAACACAGAGATTTTTGTAAGATGGACACTTGGTAATTACCTGGCTGTACATGGGGTAAATAAAAGAGGAAGGGCTATGAGCGTGTGTGAAGGAGACGAGATTTGTTTTAGAAAAGTTGTCATTTTCCACTGTTTACACCAGTCGGCTATTAGGTTAAGGTCAGCCTGTAGGGTTATGTTATCGTTCAGGTAAGATACAGATCAGTAAATTATGCAGTCGTCAGCAAGAAGTTGAATACAGGATGTTACGTGATCAGGTAGGTCATTTACAATTTTTAAAAAAAGCAGAGGTCCGAGACCAGTGCCCTGGGGGACTCCGGATGATACAGGAGAACAAATTGTAATTGTCTTATATATTTAACCGCCTCTACAGTGGTCGGGGAATTTCACCTGAAATTATCAGGGAAAACCTGGAAAAGTCTGGGAATTTCAAAATGATAATTTTGACAACCGGATACAGACAAATGGTTTTTGAGGGGGGGATCAAAAATTTTGCCAGGGTTTGTTAAAAAAAGTTGTCCAAAAATACTAATGTCGTAGAATAGTTTAATCTTCCATATCGTGATTTTCAAGTCCTCTTAAACTTGCTACATGCTTCAATTTTTTTTTTAATTATTTACTCTTGTGCAAGATTTCCCCAAGTGTTGTTTTCGGGTCACAACTTTAAGGGAGGACACTGCCTTAAATTACCAATTTTTCGCAAAAACATTATTTTTTAAAAATGCACAATTTTTTGTACAACTAATAATTAACACCCTCACAAGATTTTCTCAATGCAAGTTGACAAAACAACGGCAGAAATAATCATTATTGACTCGTTAGTAACGCACGCAACGAGTGCCGTGCTTGGTTTAGTATACAAGGAACCATGATAAGCATCAGTTTGGAAACATGATCGCTCCGCGGCTACTAGGCCTAGCGTGGTGTGGGTAGTCTCGTTCGAAGGGTCATTTCGCAGGCTTTCAATTTTACTTTTTTATTTATTTCTTTACCCTTTCGTGCACGGGGGAGAGCCCCGTAGAAAGCGCTCGTTCCGGGGCAAGAATGGTGGTAAAAAACCAACAGGTGGTGCTATTGGCTGATGTAATGAAGCCCAAGCGGCGAGTGGCTGTCCTCGGTCACGTGATTTGCCGCGCGTGGGGCACGTTCAGAACACGTTTTTTCGCTGATCTGACCATTTCGCCCCTTTTCCCTTCGATGTTCCCTGCTTCTGTTTTCACCGAAAAATGCCCGCAGTTAAAGCTAATATGCGTAGAAGCTGTGGTAGGCGCTCTCTCTTCACAAAACCGAGAGGTCTCGGTTCCCGCAAGGGCTCAGAAACTCTGTTGTTGCCTGCGCCGCCAGCGCAGTCAATTTGGAGTTTGACTTCGTCGGAACCATTGGAGGACGCTTCTTCTACATAGTGTTTGTGAACGCTTCACTCCCAGAGGAAGTTGATGACTTTACCACTTTCGAGCAGAAGATTCTGCTTTCGGAACTCAGCGAGGCCGATCATGAATAGATCGACGACAGCGATCAACCTTGATCCCTCGATGGACAACACTTTGTGCATGTTTCAGCCGTGTTGACAGTGGTGAGCGCCTTGTTGTGTCCCACTTGTTTGGGAAGCGGATTGAAGTTGGTGGAAAACGGAACTGGGAGCAAATTTGCAGTTTGTGATCGTTTGCAGTTCTTGTGGGGAGACAGTTAAGGCACCGCACTTCGCGTCCGTGCGAACAACTCGGCAAAATGAACTCGCTGTGCGCCTCTGTGTTGTCGGTCGGGACTGCGGAATTAGCTTTACAAAGCTAAAAAAACTTTTGGAGGCATGAGTGCACCACCGCTGATGTATTTCAAGACCTATTAGAACATAGCAGAAAAAATGCACGACTCATCAATGGATGCGGCAAGCGACGTGATGAAGGAGGCCGCGAATGCCGTGAGAAAGCTGCAAGCAGAGGAGGCTCAAGGTGAAGTACGGGATGATGGAGAGGATCTTCTTAATGTCTGCGTCAGTTCGATGGTACATGGGAGAAGTGCGGCCACATGTCGCGCTTTGGGGTTGTTGCAGTCATCAAACTCAAAACTGGCTTGGTCCTCGATTTCTCAGTGCAGAGCAACTATTGACATGGCTGCAACCTCGGTCCCAAGAAAGTGTCAGATGAATACCAAGCTTGGGCAGAGTCTCACGAGGAAGTCTCCCAAAAAGTACTTTAAGGGCTCCTCCAACGCAATGAAAGTGCAAGCGGTTGGTGACATCTTCAGCCACTTAATGGAACAGCACAACATGCAGTATATGACTGTGCTCAGTGACAGGGACAGTAAGGCTTTCAAACATGTTGAAAGTCTAGGCCTTTATGACAAAGATGTACAGAAGGAAGACTGTGTTAGCCATGTGGCAAAGCGCATGTATGCCAGAATAAAGAAGTTAAACAAAACAAAAAAAACAACAAGAAGGGACTCTGAGGAAAATGCAAGCTCACCAACATCATGATGAAGAGGCTTACAAGCTTCTATGCGACCGCATTGAAGGACAATGCTCCAGATGTTGCCAAGATGCTGAAGGGAGTCTTTGCAAGCTTGCTCCACAGCTACTCTACTGACGCCGAGCCCCGGCACCAGGCATGTCCTCAGGGTGAAGACACTTGGTGTCATTTCAGTCGCCACAAAGCTCTGGTAGCAGCTGGCAAGCCAGGTGCACCGTGTCTAGATGGACCAGCTTTCTCGAGGGGCATAGCAAAAGAGCGGGTGCCGCTGTACAAGCGTCTGTCAACCAAGACCCTGCTGGCAAGGTGCTGCAGGAGGAGGACTCAATATACCAATGAGTCCTGCAACGCGCTCATCTGGAAGAGGTGCTTGAAGACAGAGTTTGCGTTTCTGTGTACTCTGGAACCCGCTGCCACAATGGTGGTTCTGGAGTGTAACCTGGGTCCGCAGGACTTTAAGAGGGTGCTCGAGAAGATGGGCATGAGCCTGGAAGCCACCTGGAGCACATGGGGAAAGCAACTGAGCTGAAGATCACGCAGGCCAAGGCAAAGGCACTGGACACCTCCAAGATTGCCCACATCGAAGGAAGCTAGAGGTAGTAGCAGCAGAGCAGAAGAGGGTTTAGGAAGAAGGTGTCACCTATGCTGCTGGCGGGTTCTTCTGAAGTTCAAAGTGCAAAAAAATATCAAAAAGCGATCTTGGAACTTTAAGCACGTTTTTCTCAGCTTCACTTTTTGGTGTCAAATCTCGGTTCAGGGAAGCTATAATTTCATAATGAAATATGCGTGTAGTTGGATTTGAATTTTTCTATATTGAAATTTTGTGGGGAATGCGACTGTCAACTTCATTTCAACATTTTTATTTTCTTTTGCTGTGAAAAGTTAATACATCTTTAATCAAATGCTCACCAAAAAAAAGTAATATTTTTCTTAAATTAGAAATTTCATAATTTTTGTAATTTCTTTTTATAGTCTGAAGCAAGTATTCTACTGTATGTTCCACCAAAAAATCTGGCCCTTTTCATTACCGTTTCTAAAGGATAGCTTTCCTCAGCGGATGCACTTTTTGTATGATAAATGTTTATACAACTCATTCTGGGATAAATTTATAAGGTTGAAAATTTGCATAGCATCCTTTCTCAGTGCCATGAGTACAACCTGCAAATTTCATACCAATAGGTGGTATTCACTGAGCCTGCAGGTTTGATTTTGCCAGGGAGCGCGACCGTCGATCTGCCACCTTCGAGGTCGCGGTTTGACTGGCTTGGGTATGCGATCATACGTTGGTATTGTGTGCTAATTTCATATAGTTGAAGAAGCTTCGTTGAACAAAAAAGAGAAAAAAGGTTTATCTCAGGGGCGGGCCGTTTTAGTTTCCTTGTTGCCGCCGAGTACCGTGTGTAAAGGCTGAACCGCACGTAAGCAATTTAGCGAGCGACGGGACGAGACGAGCGACGGCGACAGTGACGAGACAAGCGACGACGACCCGCTTCGCTGTCGCTCGGTCACTCGCGCGACAAGGCAAACTGCATGAAAACGACGGGAGCAAGCGACCAAGGCGATTAGCAACGTTTTCTAGAAATCCAAAAACCGAGGGACGTGACCACCGACTGTGAGAAATCTCCGTCGCTGTCGCCGTCGCTTGCTACATCGCTTACATGCGGTTTGCCCTTCATTGTCGCTCGTCGCGTAGCTCGGTTTTGGGAGTTTTAGAAAACTTAGCGCTCATTGCCTTGGTCGTGTGCTCCTGTCGCTTTCATGCGGTTTGCCTCCTTGCGCGAGTGACAGAGCAGCAGCAAAGCGACGGCGAAGTGGGTCGCCGTCGCTTGTCTCGCCGCTCGCCAAATCGCTTACATGCGATTTTTAAATCGCTTGGGCTAATGAAAAATGCGCCGCATTTTTCATAATCTGCACACTCTGTGAGTCGCACGATATGTTTCTGCACAGGAACGAACACCGAAGGCACGACGTATGCACGACACAGAGGCGATGGAGCAACACGGTTACACGGCTGTAGTGCAGAAAATCCGCTAGAGGAAAACAATAAAGAAACTAGCAAAACACAGAGTAATCACACCGTGCTGCAAAAGCACCAAAGTAGAAAAATCAGTTCTTGCAAGAGCTACCGCCGTGGGCACGGCGCGCGACACAGAGCTTTTCATGGAGCCGAGGGAGCAACGCGGTTGCGGTGAACGAGTCAGATAGCGACAAAAACAAACGAGAACACAAAAAAATACTCCTACAGCGATTCAAAAGCACCAAAGTAAAAGAATAACACCTAGTTTCGGTCAAAAAGACCCTTTGAAGTTGTAAAATGCTGCTTAACCACGCTCAAAAGGTCCGGCCAGACGACACCCGCAATAGAAAGAGACCTCGAAGATGGCGACCGTGGTGGGCGATGCCAGCGAACCTAGCGAGTGACGTCAAGTGAATGTCGCCTATAAGACAAACGGTTCTAAAGTTGGCCTTTTGGAGTAATGTTCCCCTTTAAGAGTCTGGACAAATTCACACAGGTGGTAATGAACAGTGTTTTTGAAAGAAACTTGCAAGTTTCAATACTATGGTTCTCAGAAGACCACATCTGTTCAAGAGTCCAAAACTAGTCTAAGAGTGTCAAGGACAGACTCGTCACTTGCCTTAGAAATATTGTATAAATATTGTAACCACCGCATGGGGTTGTTTCAGTGGTGGCAATAGTGTTGTGTCTAACCATCCTAGAGCTTCTTGATTACAGTGAGAATGCAAATTGTGTTGCAGGATCGCTCGATTGCTGTCTGGGACATGGTGGCTCCCCGTGAGATCAACCTGCGGAGGGTGCTAGTCGGACACCGGGCAGCTGTGAATGTGGTGGACTTTGATGAGCGCTATGTGGTGTCTGCTTCTGGTGACCGCACCATCAAGGTGTGGGGTACCCCGAACTGCGAGTTTGTGCGCACCCTCAACGGGCACAAGCGTGGCATCGCCTGCCTGCAGTATCGTGATCGGCTAGTGGTCTCTGGCAGCTCGGACAACACCATCAGGTGAGTGGATGCCAGGCCTCTCTACGAGGGCTGCAAGTGTGTCCTTGTCTTCAGGCTCTGGGACATAGAGTGTGGTGCCTGTCTGCGTGTGCTGGAGGGGCACGAAGAGCTGGTGCGCTGCATCCGCTTCGACTCGAAGCGCATTGTCTCTGGCGCCTACGATGGCAAGATCAAGGTCTGGGACCTGGCGGCAGCCCTGGACCCTCGAGCTCCTGCGGGCACCCTGTGCCTGAGAACACTTGTGGTGAGTGATCCCGGTAGTGTGTAGAGGGACTGGGTCCCCAGTGGTTGTTGTGGCAGGGGCCCTTACGGCTCGGTCTCTGGCACTGTTGCAGGAGCACAGTGGCCGAGTGTTCCGGCTCCAGTTCGATGACTTCCAGATCGTCTCGTCTTCGCACGACGACACCATTCTCATCTGGGACTTTCTGCATTTGCCCTCGGAAGCTGCGTCCTCCCCCCTGCCACCCCGTACCTACACCTATGTGAACAAGTGACACCCACTGTCCCCCGGGGAGACTGACTCTTGAGACTGGGCACGATGTGGACAGTGCTGGGCCAGTGGTGGCATTTTCTTTGTGGAAGGGGAGGTGCTTGTTGTAAGGTTTTTCTTTCTAACTCAATCAGTGGTTGATGAGACGGCTGCTGAGGATTTTGAGACTGTGGGGGTTCCACCTTTGGCTTTGTGATAGCTTTGTGACAGGTGTGGTGCTGCCCTGGAGGGTTAGTGAAGTGTCCTGCAACAGCAAGCAAAGTACTCTATAGGCTCGTGTGTTGGTTTGTCTCCTGGGTGGCCCAGGGCGCCCAACCTCCCGAGAGCGGTGAACGAAGCGCGTTTGGTGTCGCGGACAATGTAGATCCTCGAGGTGTTACTCGGTTCCCTAACAATCTAGCTTGACCCCTCTGCTGTCGGGGGCTGCTCTTGGCCAGGAGCCTTTCCCGTATGGGCTGTGCAGGCAGCTCTTGGCCCTGGTGTCCTGGCAATCTTCCATCCCAGAACTTGGATGCTGTATAGCTGGATTTTTGATTGGTGGGCTGCTTTTGATTCACCAGTCGTGGGATGGGCATTTGTACACAACTGGGTCCCCAAGCGTTGTGGTGGCGGCAGTCACTCCCAGAGCTTAGCAAGTCCAGCCAGGATGCTGGCTCCCCTAACAAGCCCACCCTGTTTCCTGGGTGCGATGGTGGAACTAGGCCTTGTTGTGAGTGTTACTTTTTGAGATACGAGAGCTGCAGTAGAACTACATTGGCTGTGCTCTTCTCTCTGGGTGTGTGTGTGTGACTGTGTGTGTGTGCAAGCGTGGTGTCCGTGTTTGGAGGATGTTGTTGCATCACCTGGTGTCTCCTGCAAGGATCTGTTTTGAATGGTGAAGCAAACTTTTCACTCAAGGTGCAATTGATGTTTGCTAATGACCCTAGTTCACAGCTGCCTCTTCGGCTTGTTGAACTTAGAATGACCAAGAGAGGAACTCGTTTATAAAGATAGTGGCTTGAGGCGATTGAGGGTTATTTATTTTTCACGGGTTTGCCAGGAAATTGGTTTGGAATGGTCACCTTGATGAGATATTTGCCTGCATTCCAAAGCTGCTTTATGGAGCAAGAAGAAAAAAGTTGTAGCATTTTTGATTGTAAATAAATGATGTTGCCAGTAGGAATTCAGCCCTTGACTCTTGTGTTGCTAACCTTGTACGATGGCCTTAGGGGCTCGCGACCCATGCTGCTTCCTCGCGCTCTCAGTCTGAAGCACTTGGCTGGGCCTTGCCGCGATGCGACAGCATCTGCCGGGCTGACCGCGCGCTATTTCGCGGGGGGCAAAAAGAAGAAAAAATAGCTACATCTGCGGCACCCCTCCCTCTTCCCGCGGTGGAGCAGTGCAGAGAAGCTCGGGGCTGAGCTCCGTTGGTTCGTAGTTTGCCGTCGGCGGCTGCGACCATGCTGCTTGCCGCTCTTGATGCGAGCTATTTTAAGGGCTGGCCACGTGGCCCGAGTCGTTGCCTAAATTTGGCGCCTGGGCCCAGTTTCACGCTGGCAGCTTCCCGAGAGGAGCGTCTGCAACCCCGGAGTTCGACTGGTGGAGTAAGTTGCCAAAAGGCCCGGTTGTAAGCAGCGGTAGTGTTGTTGACCCGCTGGACATGCGGCATGTCAACAGGTGGCCATAGCAGTGAGGTGATGGCTAGCGTTGCGACCACGACTACGATCAGCAGCATCGCCGTACAGTCGGGAAACACCCGGCTGGTAATCGCCCTCTTGCAAGTGAGTAGGGCTCTCGATGTTCGCTGTCGCGCTTGTTACTATGGCTTTGACCTAGCTCCGTTTGATTGGACATTTGGTAGAAGCAAGTACGCGGAAGAGTTCTCTGCAGTTTAACTGCTCCGGAGCGGGTGGATCTGTGGCTTCTGTGCCACAAGGGAGACCTTGAAAACGCGGGGCCTGTGTTTTTCGTGTGTGTCGGTATACATGGAGAGGAAGCCGTGGCCACTGGCCAAGTAAAAAAGAAAACTATTGGCTCTGTGGTGACCTTGTGTGTATGGCACAGAACAGAGGGCTGATGCAGAGCAGGTGCCTCCCATAAGCCGGCGGCCATCAGGGTGGTATAAAAATAATGGGTGGTTGCTTAAACTTGTGCCAAGTAGTCGGGAACCCGCTCGAGACCGGGGGAGTTTGTCAAAGTCGCTCTAAACTGCCTGCTGTTTTCCGAGGGCCTGCACCCCCCTGCAAGGCCGGTGCTCGACGACCGGGCTTTCTGGTTGCCGTTGCTTACCCGTTTGGGCGTGTCCCCTTTTCCTTACTTAAGTTGGCGTCTGTGGTCTACAAACCTTGACCATTCGAGTGAACTTTTCACGTTTGCTTGTGTGCGTTGGGAGAATAATTGTATTTAGTTGAAATTCAGTTTCTTCGCCCAGTTCTTATCTGTGCGCAGGCCTGGACAATTCGGGAGATGTGACGGATTCCCAAATCACCCTCACGTCTCTCATTTGGACAGCTTCACAAAACAAATTGCGCAAGCGTCGTACTGGTCTTTGTCATTCGATCGCATCTTAGTTCTGTACTGACCAAGGGACCTAAACTCGTCAAGCACCAAGTTCGAGCCGAAAGTTCGCGGAGCGCGCCGATTGGACGCCGGCGACAAAAGCGCGAAGTCAACGTCGTGATAGTCCACTCGGTGCGCACTGTGTACTTCGTCCCCAACTTTGTGTTCGACGAGTTTAGAGGCCCCAGTACTGCTTTTAGGATTGCACTTTTGGTGTGCCCATGGTTGTAGAGCGTCAACTCCCCGCTCACTGGTCCGCCTCCATCTCAAGGTTGGCCTAACGACTGCAAAGTTTTCATAATTTTTTTTTTTTTTTTTTATGTCGGATTTATTTGATGTTTCGCGCAGTCGCAACTGTTCTGAAAGTTTGTTTTTACAAAAAAGAAAAAAAAAAAGAGTTTTTACAAAAAGAGGCGGGAGAACTCAAAGCTCTTCCTCAGGGAGGAGCTTAAGTTGTCCTGCCTCCAACGCGAGCTTCCTGCCTTCGACAGCGCTTCGGCGTCTCGCGCACCTTGAGAGCGCGCGCGCAGCCAAAGCACGGCCGAAGGCATGGAGCGCCTGCTGGAGGCTTGCCGTTCGAAAGACACGCCCTGCCGTTTCTATTGTCGGTGACAAGATCCTACAAAATTATTTGCTGTGGTTGTACTGTTCTCTCGTGAAAACATGGAATCGTGGGATAGAAATATTGAGTGTTAAAACGCAATAGAAAAGTTAAATAACAGGAAAGGTGTTTGGAAATCGTTAAAGAACCACTGAAAATTTTTTTTTTTTTTTTTTTTTTTTTTTTTTTAAAGTCTGGTCGGGACACGTATGTCAAAAAAGAAATTTTACTTGGACAAAAAAAAATGTTTTCTTTAATATTGCTGGCGCGAGACGCGATTTTGTGGGTGGTCACATTTGCACTTGTTTTCTCTCGGCATTTCGGGCGCGTCGATCGGCTTGGCCATCACGTTGAGGTGGAAAGAGTGTATGACCATTCTGTGACGTCATGGACGGGACGTGCAGAATTTGAAATGAATCTCGCGCCGTCAATGTTTCTCGAATTCTTTTTTTCGTGTAAAGTTCATTTTTTGACACACGTGTCCCAACCGAACCTAAAAAAAAAAAAAAAAAAAAAACTTTTTAGTGGCTTTTTAAAGGGCCCCTGAGAAGAAAATGTTTAAAAAATATTAGAACAATATTGACGGCGCGAGACGCGATTTAGTCGGTCGTCACCTTCTTTTCATTTGTTTTCTTTCTCTGCATTTCGGGCGCGTGGAGGAGAGGTGGATCGGCTTCTCCTTCGCGTGGAGGTGGAAAGAGCGAACGACCGAGGTGGTCATTCCGGAATGACCCGTGACGTCGTGCACTTTGCGCACAGAATTTCAAATAAATCTCTCGCCGTCAGTATTGCTCAACATTTTTTTTCGCGTAAAATTTATTTTTTGCCACGCGTGTCCCAACGAGATTGTTCAAAGAAAACAATATATATATAATTTTTTTTTTTAATTTTCAGGGGCTCTTTAAAACGATACGCGACAGCCGTCGTGCATTTGTAGTGTGTGTGTGTGTGTGTGTGTATAAACGATATTTCATGTTTTGCCCGGCAAATGCTGTGATATTCTAGCTGATCGACGACGAGCAAATAACGGCTGGAGCTTTAAATCGAACAGTTGACAAGCTCCACGGAAGAGCGCAGTCCGAAAACGTTCCTTCTCGGTTGCTCCCATCCACGGTTGGTGCAGAAGGACCTTTTTCGTACGACACTCTTAGCGTGTGCAAACTTTGTTTACAATAAACATCCCCATAGGATCACTTTCCACCGCCAGCAATGTGCATCCAATGTTCTACCGGGTCCGTTGTTTCGGCTCGTCATACTTGCACATGACGCCATTTCCGATGACCTCCAGAGAAAAGGGGATCTTGCACCGCGACCGATGCATCAACAGAACAGCAAAACCTTCCTGAGCTATATAGACCTTTCCATCGCTTATCCCCGGGCGAAAAATGCTGAGTCACTGAGCCGCACTGCACAGTAGAGCAACAGTGCATGCTCAGAAGGCGTTCCAGTTCCACAGCCCAGCAGACACAGACGGCACAGCGCCTAGAAGGCGATTTGTGCAAAGGTCTATAGCTCGGACGAAAGGCGGAGGTCTTGATAAAGACAGAGATACGGACGCGTGATACTATCGCGTACGCTTCGTCTCACCCTACGATGGACTAAAGGCAAAAGCTACGGACTGCCAGACCCAATCACGAGCCACTTAGAAACTGTGTGGTATTGCGCTTTAACGCACGTATCAGTGCCCGCGTCTCGAATCATTGATGGGGAGTGGGGGACAGTGGCTCGAATCGAATAGCAGTGAGTGACTCAACAATCTTACATTGCAAAAAAAAAAAAAAAAAACACGACGTACAGGCTGTTTGCAGTGTCGAAGCCGTAGAAATGATGCAGTGTTTTTTGTGTTCGGAGCATTATTCTTCCACCCTAGTTTAGCGTGGAATGGGATTGGACCTGGGCGGCCCGCGGCTTTGGCCTTTAGTCCATGGTAGGATGAGACAAGGTACAGCGTTCCATACGAAGAAAGAAAGAAAAAAGAGAGAGTTCTTACCTCTTAAAGGTATCCATGCAGCCAAGCCACCACCGTAAGTAAATTTGGGTACTTCAACCTCAGACAACCCGAGAGGCTTCGCGCAGTCTCCCGAGCCAGAGCAGAAACAGAACACAGAAGCCGTAGCACAAAATACAGACAAACATGCACACATGCCATTAAAACGCGGCATGACGGAAAGCACTTTTGGAAGCCAACAGCGGGTTATATACCCGAAGACGTCGCCGTCGTGCTTAAGCTCGCCAGTGACTTTTATGCCAATCTTCTTCTTCTGCAGCGTCTCGATGTTCTTCGTCGACACTCGAATCTTACAAGCACACGAAAGAACACCCAGAAAGGAACGACTGAATACCCCGAGGCGACACCCGTGCAGTTTCAACTTTCGAGCCGAATAGACCCTTTCCGAAATTCAGTCTGCAGCCAACTCGATGGCTATCATTAGTGATGGGACGAATCACCGGAGATTCGGATTCGCCCAGATTCGGAAATTTCCGAACTTCCCGCGACGAATATTCGGCACATTCGGAGATTCGTCCGATTCGTCGCTGGTTGAAGACGGCAGCAACAGCAGCGTGAACCTTGTCGTAAAGCTCGCAAACGCGGTCAGCAGGGGCGGATTTAGAGGGGGGGTCCGGATGTCCTGACCCCCCTCTTGATTTCTGCATGTGTAAAATTTAGGGCGTGAAACGAGGGAGGGGGGGGTAGGGGTTTCCTGAACATATGGTACGCTGACCAACACCTGACCCCCCCCCCCCCCCCCCCCCCCCCCCTCAGGAAATTCCTGCATCCGCCCCCGGGTCAGTTTGTTTGTTTTTAGGTACTGTTACTGCATATAACCAGATTTCGTCTTGTTTATTTCAACGTACGTCGTATGGTATGTACTGTACTGTCATTCTAAACCCTGGCACACGCCCAGATCCAGCTGAGCTGATCGGTGTGGTTGACGTAGGCCTAACCAACGCACGGTCTCGGTTCCTGTGCGGTTTCACGGTGATCGGTAAAATGTGGCGAAATGCTGCGTATTATACATAATGTGGCGCAACGCACAATAAATATATTCAGGCAAGGAAATGATTCGTCTCCTTCTCTAGAGCTGCGTATGTCAGTACCTGTAAGGCGCGAGAGCGAGATGAATGTTCGTAACAACTTCGACCGCGTACCGGCACCGGTGGGGAAGAAAAACGTCGCTAATTCGCACTGTCGTTTCTCCGTTCTCGGCAGCACGTTTTGTGGACGTGAACTTTATTTGACGAAAAAGAAACAACAGGGGTGTCTAACGTCGAAACAAACACTAACAAAATCGGATATCATTAACCAGAAAGGTACAAATGCAGTGCAGGTTACGGCGCAAAGAGTTTCAGGAATCAGGTTGTTTCCCTTGTTCCGATAATACCTCAGTGGACACACGTTGAAGATAATCGATCAGAATATACAGCGCCAAAAAAAAAAAAAAAACGATGCGCCTCGTCCTGTTTACTCTCCTCTTTGTCCTGTCGTTTTTTTTGGCGCTGTATATTCTGATCATGAACCAACTAGCCCAAATTTCTACTTTGCTGAAGATAATCGAATCGAACATACTCAGTTGTGTGCCACAGCACGTACGGCATCATCTCTTGCGGCGATGAAAACAT